GAATTCAAAACACAAGGTCAAGCGACTTCAGGTCAGGACGAAGCTTCTCTTGCCAGAGCTGCGACTTACGCCACACTGTTATGAGAATTTACTCTTCTGATTTAATACGTACTTTGTGGACCTGCAGAAAGCCTATGACCGGATCTTGCGCAACAATCTGTAGGCATACCTGTGAACATACAGGATCGATGGCCAGTTGCTACAGATCAAAGCGATGGATGTATCAGTGTAAGGGATGTGGAGACGAGAAGGTTACTGTCTGCAGATGACCTTGTTTTATTGGCCTCTTCTGAAACTGATCTACAGCGCTCTCTGGAGGGGTTCGCAGGCGAGTGCGAGTTGGTCGGTATGCGTTTGAACAAAAAGCCTAGTGCTTTCTCGTTCTCTTGCTCGCTGCACTGTTCAGGTAAACCGAGAAGCAATGAAATAGGTGGAAAAACTAATTTACCTTGGGTCATTTTCATGGTGATAGGAACTGGGAAAAAATCAACACACTGTAATACACCAACCTGCGAACTGCGATAGACATGCGCGACCCTAAAGGATAAACGGTCATAGAAACTAACTAAATAAAAAATCGTTATAAAAAGCGATACACAAAGCACTGTTTTACCTGCTGGCATATTCATGAAGATACTTTTTGAAGATTGAAGCCAAATCGATCAAGACGTTGTCTGACATTCCCAGTGGAGTTATCTGAACTATACACTTTTTGTAGAAAAGAAAGAGCTCACTACTTGAGGGAAAGGGGACGGCGGCTGAGGCGGTTGAAGCACTATCGTCCTTAGTTGGAGGTCTTTCTTTGAACTTGGCGGCCAACTGGTCGATCAAAGAGTTCAGATTTGAGTCCTGTTCATCCATGTAGACGTGCATAAAGCGCTCAAAGCAGCTCCCAATCGAGCCATGAAACGGGTTTTTACGAATCGAGGTAACTGCCTGCTTGCTTTCATCGCCCTCTTCAAGTCCAAAATAAGGGAAACGCTTCCACAGCAGAGCCTCGAAGTTGATCGTCCGCTGCGTGGCAAACAACAGTAGCTTCATGTTCAATTCCTTCTCTCGCTTTCGCATTGTCGTCAAGAGCATGTCCTTACTGCAAGCGCAAAAGTCAAGCGTAAAACGCTCCATGATCTGCCAGTCGGGTGGGATCAAGTTGCGAAACTTTTGCTCGAATTCGATCAGGCGTTTGCAGAACCAAGTGTACCTAAAAATACCTTGGATATTTAGCTCTCTGAAACTCTGTAAACAGCATTAACAGAAAACGTAATGAACCGTGCAGAATACCAACCGCAGCTAATGCACTGGAACAAAGCAATAAATAAATGAGAAATTGTATCAAATCGAAAAAATATGGGCAACTATGGAATGTGAATTTCGGAGAATGAGTGGCAGTGGTGATCACAGGGCAACCGACTCCCGCAGATTGAGAAGTAAACATGACGATGAACGAGACTGCGTAAAAACGGCTGGTCTCGTCCTTTGCCATTTAACAGGGGAAATGATAGACAGACAAACCGTCATAAGGTACACACTTCAGAAAAGTGTTCTTGGTTTCAAGTATTTGTAATGGAATAATAGACTGTCATCGATATAAAAAAAGTTTTACAATGCCTTTTTTTGTTTTGCAATTTTACAATGAAACTACAAAAACTCAATTTATGAGCATACATACAAAAGAAAAACATACATCAAGAAAACAGAATTTAGGTTTAATTACAGAAACGAAAAATGAGACCTAACTGCACGATTTCACAGTTCAAAAATATATAGACATACCATGTAAACTATTTCGAAATTCAGCAGAGTCAAGTAATGTTGTTATCTACTGCGTTGCAGGTGAAGATTATGATCTCTGAAGCTCCTCGATCTAACGGATATTCGGTAGAGCTCTGTCATGGTATAAATACTATCGAATCAGGTGGAAGTGCTTCACGGCAGGCTTTGTATCAGACTACCACATAAGGAATGGACACAGTTGTTAAGTACATTGTTTCAAAAGAGGATACTGTCAGAACTGCTGTTCTGACAACATGCAGAGCCGAACTATTTAAGCAAACATCACAGAGTCATGAGGCAAACTCAAGTAATCATAGTTTCCATAGTTTTTATGGAGTTAAAAGTATACTCTAATAACCAAAGACAGCAGCTGCTCCGTAACTGAAAAGAGAAAAAATACATTCAAGTCGAAGTTTTTAATGGCCTCTTTGGTTGCATGCAAATTCTTGACTCTTCTTGGAAGAAGTCGCTTAACATCCAAATCAAATACCTTGTAACTTTGTACTCAAGGGAACATGTCGTGACAAAAGACATTCATTCAATCGCTTTTAAATTTGATAGTAGCCTTATGAATGAGAGTTTGAGAGCTTGAATGATTTTTAAAATGGTTCAGATGGCAGAAAACCAATCAAACGTTATCGTCTGAATTCAAATCTACTCACCGTGCCTTAGCCATGATTTACAAGGCCTTCTATTTGACTTGCGTGTCATGTGGTGTTGCGAAGAAACTCCTGCATATTGCGAATCTCCCTTCTGACATCACCACCATGCAGTCACGTAACAAATAATAAATCAACCCGCATAAAAGATTTCTACACAGTCCCAAGCAAACTGGTTCTGGAGCGTAAATACAACAGGACGAATGTATAGATATATTAAGCATTGTTTGTAATACCTCTGATCCACATTATCCAACCAAGCACTGTCTTGGGTATCATCGTACAGTACCCGGTATTCGGCCAAGTTGTGATCAAGTAGCCACTTAATCAGCTCTTCCCTTACTTCTGGGTTCAACACAGATATGACCTTGATCACTTCCGCAATTTGTATCGAAGAATGACCTTTGCTACGCATCGTGAAATACTCTTTGAATTCGGAACAACACAGCGTGCTCAGCTCAGTGCATATATTTTTCACTCGTCCAGAAAGTTGCCGCACTTCCGGTAAGTTCATGTACTTTGCAAAGTGACTTAGCACGTTCTGAATACCTGGTAGACGTTCGGCAACATCCGCAAAATTCTTCGTCCTATCAAATAAGCACGTGCTATAACACCAAAAAAGGCCGATAAATTTGTTCGGCCAAAATATTACCGGTTTACTATTCAGATGTTACAGCTAAAGATTCTCCTCTGAAACTCATTACAGATTCCATAATAACAAGCTTATAACTAAGAATGCCATAGATTTTAAAAATCTTGGTTTAAAACTCTTAATCATTGCCATAATCTTCAGAGGGTTAGCTCTGCATTTAAACCTTATTAAACAAAATTCCGACATTTGAAATCGAGCTGAATCCAGCCTCCGAGGACATAAAGCAACAACAAGTGCTAAAAACACTGCCAGCAATTTTAACAAGTAAACTTTAGGAAGACTTTGGCATTGATGAACTTTCACCTGCAAAAAGAATTCAAAATTTGTCAAAATCTTAACTACCTACCGCCCTCGGAAATGAATTTCAAAATTTGGAACAAAATAATTTTAGAGGAAAGGCTGGACCATCTGGTGACTTAAAAAATATAAGACAACAAAAGAATTTAAAATGGGAGAAATGCACACGATTTCTCAAATTCATAAATCAGTCGAAAATATAAAAAAATAGGATTATAAACAGTAGCACGCCAAAAAAGGAAAAATTTCTTAAAAATGAAGAAATTCAAAAACCTAAAGGAGTGCTTACTTTGTTAGCTGACAATAATAGTTATTACGGTGATAAAAATAACCCCTCCAAAAACTTCAGGTTGAATAAACATTCTGTCATGAATAAATTTTTAATTTTTGAAATAAATCCCAATACAATCCATAGAAACACATTAAGTGGGTACACTTGGATTTCTACATTTATTTAAGCAGCTTAAATAAAGTACGTATGAGTGTGCCGTTTCAGCGTCCTTTTTTAGACTGACCTACGCATCTATACAACTATTCATGTAGCAACAGTCACAAACTGCGACCTCAGTAAACCATAAAGTTTTTGATACTTTATGCACTGCAGTTCATCGCGATGAGCTACTAACAGCGGCACAGTTAGGGCTCAATAATGACGTAAAAAATCCCGTCGCTTCGCAGTTACAAAGGTCATTAATCTGATAACAGCTTGATAACAGACCTTGAATGAGATTCAAACTATGAAATCAGTTTAAAATGTAACATCTATTTTGGAACTTAAATTTTGAAACAATTTTGCCTCAGCTATACGAACCTGAGTAAAGAAAAAATGCTACGTTGCATGAAAAACAAGATTAGGCTGAAAATATTTATTCAGAATAAGCTTACTTGATGTTCTACAAATATATGATTTTTGCAGTGCGAAATTTCAGCACTAAGATTGTTGAACATTCTTAAATCATTTTGCCGAAAACACACCAACCTCATATCCTGGTTCTTTAAAATGAGTTGAAAAAATTCAAAGGTTACAGGCACGTACAGACCGCTACTCTTTAAGTCTATTATATAATCAACGCTTCTACCGAATAGTGTCAACAAACGTCAGAGATAAACAGTTAACTTACTGGACACAAGTCGATAATGATCAGCGTTATTTCGTCGACTGGCTGAAAAATAAACTATAACCAATTTTCTTATGTTCATTCAATCATTACAACTAGTCTCCAGAAACGGTTTAGAAAGCTAGGAGCTACCAGTACAACGGAAATCTTTCCGCCCAAGAAAAACCATCAAAAATCACCCGACCGCAAAACCACCACCGAAAGTAGGTCACTCACTTGAGATCTGATTCCAACGACTCAAGGCTGCACACCATGATATGTATATGATTCAAGGTAGTCACCGATGTTGTCAAGTTTTTTTTCGCTTGGTCCAGCTGTTTAATATCCTTCGTTATTTCCACGACCATCGTTTCCGAATCCTCAGTTTTCGCCTTGATTTCGAGGATTCTAGCGTATAACAGTTGCACAGCCTTTTTCGCTTCTTCAAGAGATGTCTGACTGTCTTGTTTCGCAGTACTCTGCGTTTCTAATATCGCCGTAATCTCAGAATCGATGTTCTCGATCTGCTGGTCGACATTAGATATTACTTCGTCGAGATTGCCTAGAAACAATCAACAGCATTAGGATAGAAAATTGAAGCAAACACGGAAAAAGTGGTGCCATAGCCGACATATAACGGAGTTAAGTATATTAACGTTACGAATATTTAGTCGGCGTTTTAGTCATTCTCAGGACTCCCAGTGGAATGTCAGAGATCTTACATGGGACGAAAGTCTGATTTACAGTTAGATATGTAACAGATTAGATCGTTCTGCGAGCAATGCAGATCACTGATGAAACCAGCCGGGGTGACATTAGAAAGTCATTAGCTGTAGCGACAGTCATAGATAAACGAAGTTTTATTAAATTGCGAGATCGCCAAAGCATAAGTTTAATTTGACGTTCTAATTAACGAGCATTCCCGTAAACTCTGTTACGATCTTGTCTCCTTTCCCTTGAACCTAGTCATGCTACCGCTGCTACGGCAATGGCTATTACGAGCTTATATTCTCGATAAATCCAATCGAGTCAAATGGAACGTTCCCACTCACAAAGTACCTGCTAAATGATAGAAAGGATTTTCTCCTAGAATTCGATTTCATCTCTAAGGTGAATAAAACACAATGACTTGAAATAAACGCTGCTTCATCTTTCAGTACAGGGTTGCATGTGCAAGCACTGCCACTACTCGTACCTACTTCAATAGAACCACTCATATAGAAAACGTCCGCATTAGACGCTTGCACAGATTCTCTTCCCACCAAAGCGACATGGCTATTGAATATCTTAAGACAGATAGCTATGGTTGCCGCAAATGAGGCTGCCAAATTTTGCGAAAAGAGCCTTGCTGGCCCAAAATATCTTCTTCAAAGATTTTGTCGCATGCCGCTATAGAATAGTTGCCACGAGGAACCATTTCAGGCAGATTCTATGTGAAACAATCTTTGCAAAAAACTTCTGTATCACTTATCATCGAGTATAGAGGTCCAGTTGTTGAAACCAGCCTATTATCGCTCTTCGCATCGTCGATGGAATTGTTTGTCGATCCACTGCTGTTCATTTTTCTCTTTCAGCATTGTACAGACGCTATGCTAGCACATTTACAATTCAGGTAATCGGTATCAAGGCGTACATCTGAGTTGGATGTTTAAGTCGACTCTAAGCAATTAATTTTCTTCTTCCATAATTAGACGAATCTGTAATCTTCCTGGTCAATGAGACTACAACCCAATTCCCTCATTTCTTAAACCAGCAAGGCTTTGACCAACCTGATTCATTCTCACATCCTGCGCCTTGTCAGCTTAAATTTTCCCAAGAAGAGACGCATCTGCTGAACCTCCCATTTTTAT